CCAAAACTAAAAATATTAATTCTGGTTTGAATATTCTTTTTATTTGAAAATTTCTGTTTTCACATTCAACTTCAACTTGCTCTGCTCCGTTCTTACAGAATATCCAGCATTCTGAAAACGATGCAGGTCAAACTGCGATGAAATCTCCTAAATAAGGGCATTTTTCTATTTAGTTTATGAGGCATTATTGCACATCGTCTCCTTGTGTGAGGGCAGAGAGAAGCAGGGCCGGCCCAAGGGGTAGGCAGGTGAAGCATCTGCCTAGGGCCCCAAAAAATAAGGTCGAAAAGGACCAAATTTTTTATAATTTTTTTAAATATATTATAAAAATAAAAAAAGTATATAATTTCTTATCTAGCCCAATCCAAGGGGCCTAAAAAAAAAAAATCAAAAAGGCCCAAATTTATTATTAACCTTTTACATATATTCCTACCCAAAGTTTGACGAAATGACAAGTTTGTACCTCTAGTATTATATATTTAAATTTACACCCCCAAATTAACACATTAAATTTCTTTTAACAATGAAATGCTAAAATGGTCATTTACATGTCTCAAATTACTCGCCCCCAATTCAATCCCAAAATTTAACATTCACATAAATCATCTCGACCCCTCTTCTGCCGCCGACCGTTTGGAGCTGATTTCGATCAAATTTTTTCACCAAAATCGATCGAAACCATCACTTTATCGTTTTCCAAGTGTTTTTCCAGCCTTAATAGCCCTTGATTTGGCCATTTTTTACGAATCTCGCAACCTAGCTCCACCTCATGCGACAACCATTTCCGGCCTTTTCGGCATGTACTTGGCATCATTGGCCTTCCCCAACACCACCATCTTCCTCCCCTCTGCCTTCTCACCAAAACCCCTATCATACCTATTCTGCTTACTCTGCCAATCGCCGACCACCGATACCTTTTGGGCTGTGACTTCTCAAGTCTTTTTTGATCAATCCTGGTATTGGAAATCACCAATTTCACCACCCATCGCTTCTCCAACATCTGCTCTCCAAAACCCCCTACCAACCTGACCTCGTAAGCCCGTCAGTCGTTGTCCACCTCTCCTAGTTATTTTGCATCTCAAAAGGCAAGAAATATAAATTTGAAATAATTTTTTTAATATATGTTTATATTATTAGAAGGCCCCCAAAGTAACTTTTGCCTAGGGTCACAAATGTTCTTAAGACGACCCTAGAGAGAAGGAAGACCTTTTGTCTCCATTGTTTAACTTTAGATTTCCTTAGTTGTGAATTGATGCTTTGAAGAACAAATATTAATTGAAAGGTTTGATATCTCTACATTGTAGGTAGGTCTGGAATTTCCAGGCAGCTCTTCCAAAAGTGCTTGAACAACATAAATATGTTATCCTGTCCATATAAAACACAAAGCAGTTAAGTTTTTAGTTAATGCATTTTACCTTATACACAAAGAAACTTTCATGTTTCTACTTTGTTTTAACTTTGGTGGGTGTTATCTAGAAATTGTCCTAATATATATTCCCAGTTCTAACGAACTTGTGTGCTATACTTGTAAAAATTATGCAGCGTTTAGTGATTTCCTCTACGTGGAAATGGTGAAATTTTGCTTTGATGGGTACAATTAACGACAATTATGCACTATTCTGCATGGAGGTTTCTACCGACACACATGGTTTGTGTCAAAATGTGCCATATCCATCGACACCATCCATTACCACAATCTTCAAATATTTTCTCGATGATAATTGCTTCGTATATAAAATAGTCATATAGCAATGCAGACACAACGGCGTAGTATGCTATAGTTTACTGTGGTTTACCAATGCTACAACAACACAGCCTGGAGTTGCAATCCAGATTAGCAAGCTGGACCATGCCATGCACGCGATGTACCTGATATTCCATATGCATCTGTTAAAGCAAGTAATATCTTGCTGGAAACATGAGAATGCAATTCGAAGGCTACGCAACTTGAAGCTTGCGATCAAATGTGCAAAGCTAAGATAGATGCGAGTTGAAGTAGATTTTGATCGGTAACAATCTGAAGAGCATGTGACCTAATGGGCATGTGATCTGGAAGAAGCGATTAGGAAGTAATGCAACCTAAAAGCAATACAAGAAGGAATCCATGCGAACAAATATGCATGCAGTCAGTAGCATTATGCAACTAGAAAGAAGTCGATGATTTAGAGCCGAAGAAGAAGGTGTCAGAGTTGGTCAACTATCCGGAGTGGTTTAGCTGACTTTTAGGGATGTTAAATCTAACAGATTTTGTGTTAAGTAAGAATGAATGGCTCTATGATAATACCATGTAAATATCTTAGCAAATTAGGTTAGCATTGAACGCTTTGTAGAGTTAGCATGTCTGTGATGTCTATGATGATGTCATATGTCTATATATAATCTTTGATGAAGTTAACGAAAAAGTAGACGAGTGAAAAACATTTGACAAGAAACATTCTCTAATAAACTTGTCTTTGAGAAAAACCAAACACTTGCATCCTTTTCCTTTGCATTCTCCAGCTTGTAAACCAACAACTAGTGTCAGAGCCATATTCTCACTGAGATTCATCCTTCTCACATACCCTTCATCTTCTTTCCAATAAAAAACTCTCTAGTTTATAAACACAAAACCTGTCTTCATGGCATCAAGCATAGCTTCCCTCTTACCACCAGTTTTCAATGGAGAATAATACCATATGTTGGCTGTTAAAATGAAAACGTACTTGCAAGGCTAAGGTCTATGGCAATATGTGGTGGAAGAGAAGCAACCACCTTAACTAGGACCAAATCCCACAATGAACTAGATCCGTCTCCATGAAGAAGAAGCCACGAAAGCTCTAAGAGCTTTGTCGCACATACACTTAGAGCATCTCCAAATGACTCTTTATATGAGTCACACTCTTTACTATAAAAAGTTAATGCATAAAAACAAGAGTCCAACAGACTCTTTATTCTTTAAATATAAATTAAAGAAGGAGTTTGACTCTCCACATCTAGAGAGTTAAATTTCACTCTTTATCATAATTTTAATTAATTTCAATATATTTTATTTATTAATTCTCCCTTGTCCCTTCTATTAAGTTTTTTACTTGAAAAAATGTTTTTCCTCCCCCCACAATGGTCTTTTGAGTTATCTATATATTTATGTTCTATTTTCTTTTCTCTAAAAGATGAATTTTCAAGCTGGTAGTGATGGAAATTTGTATATTGGTTCCACTGAAAATCCTCAATTTTCAACCCAACTTTCAAACTTTGATGATATATCTATTTTCACCAATACTGAAGAATCTCATTTATCTACTCCAGTTGAATCTAACTCTAAAAGATCACGTGGCGGTAGCTTTACTACAGAAGAGGATATTCTCATTGTGTCAGCATGTCTTAATACCAGTTTAGATGCTATGCAAGGAAATGAACAGAAACACAAAACATATTGGGCACAATTGTGGGAGTACTTCCATAAATACAAAAATTTTGAATCTAAACATACACAAGTTTCTTTGATGAACCGTTGGTCAACAATTCAATTAGCTACAAACAAATTTTGTGGATGCTATGCTCAAATTGAATCAAGAAACCAAAGTGGCGTCAATGAGCAAGACAAGGTATTTATTATTTTATATTTTAGAAATATATTTATATTATTGCATGGGGACTTTTTGACTAATTAGATTTATTACCTGTTGAAAAACTCATATAATGACCATTGAAACTTTTTTAGTTTGTATTTTTTTCTTTTCTTTTCTAGATTGCTAATGCAAAATGCCTATACCAAGAACTAAATAAAGCTAAATTCCAATTTGAGCATTGTTAGAATATATTGAGACTTCAACCGAATTGGAAGGAAGATTGCCAAAAGAAAAAACCGATAAAAAAGAAAGAGAAAAGTCCTACTCCTACATCAGAGACTCAAGTGAATTTTAGAGATGACAACATTACAAGTCTTGACTTTGTGGACATAGAGAGACCACCTAGAAGGAAAGCTAAAAAAGACAGAAAGAAAAGGAAGGGCAAAGATATGGAAAATGACTCAACAGGTTCATATGTGAACTTATTACAAGAAATCAGAGACAAAAAGAGACAATTCAATGAAAAGAAATTAGAATTATTTGAAAAGGCATATATTCAAGGACAAGAGAGACTTGCTTATGAGCAAGAAAAGCTGCGATTAGAACAAATGAAGGAGGATGAAAGGATAATGGCTATAGATCCAGTTGGGATGCCTCAAATGCTTGCAAAGTTTTATATTCAACGTCAAAAAGAAATCAGTGAAAGGAGATCTAAAAATTGCTAAATTTTAGTTTTGGTGGTTGAAGCTCTGTTATGCTTATTAGTAAAAAAAAAAAAATGCCAGTTTTGGTGGTTGAAGCTCTATTGCTGTTGTGGTGGTTTTGCTTTTTAGTTTCTTTTAGGTCTATTTCTACAATTTTCTTACTGCTTTGTTGTTTCTCTTTCAATCAGGCTATAACTCTTGGTCAATTTTGCTTTGGCCTTTTTTATAAAGTTTGTTTTTTCAATCATGCTGTAACTCTTGGTCAAATGTGCTTTGGCCTTTTTTATAAAGTTTGTTTGTTTGCTTGCCCAAAAAAAAAAAATGTCTTGCAGAAAGCTACTTTAGGCACTAAAAGCAGATTGAATACACTAGCAGCATGCCACAAAACCAACCTATGCTGCAAACACCATTAGCACGAAATTAAAAAGTTACATATGACTTCCATGTAATTTCCATATATGCTCGATTAGGTCTTGTTGTAGTTGAGAATGAATATCTTTATCCCTAATGCAACGATGACATTGAACAAATTCCAAAAGCTTTGCCGCATGCTTGTGCGAAATTGATATGTCTGGATTGACATCAAATGCATCATAATTATAATCTAAATTTTTAACCTGTCTTTCATCTTCAACAATCATATTGTGTAATATGATACAAGCTTTCATAATGTCCTTTAGAGTTTCACGATGCCACAAACGTGCTGGTCCACGTACATGGCAAATCTTGCTTGCAACACTCCAAATGCTCATTCAACATCTTTTCTTGCTAACTCTTGAGCTGTAGCAAATTGTTTGTGTTTATGACTTTGTGGAAATGGAATTGTTTTCACAAATGTTGACCATGAAGGATATATACCATTAGCAAAGTAGTATCCCATTGTATAGTCATGACCATTGATTGAATAGTTAGCTGGTGGAGCTCGTCCTTCAGCAAGTTCTATAAATAAAAAAGATCGCTCTAAAACATTTATGTCATTATGTGATCCTGGTAGTCCAAAGAATGCATGCCATATCCAAAGATCATATGAAGCTATAGCTTCAAGAACTATAGTTGGTTCATGAACATGGGCAACATACATCCCCTTCCAAGCAACTAGACAAATTTTCCATTTCTAATGCATACAGTCAATACTTCCTAACATTCCAAGAAGCCCACGATTGTCACCTTATTTTAACAATCTATCAATATCAATTTTGTTTGGAGATCTCATGTACTTCTCCAAAAAAATTGAAACTATTGCTTTAACAAATTTTATAAGACTTTCAACTGCAGTGCTTTCACCAATCCTTACATATTCATCAATATAATCTGCTGCAACTCCATATGCAAGCATCCTTAATGCAGCAGTGATCTTTTGGAGAGAAGACAAACCTAAAAATCCAACAGCATCCCTTTTTTGAACAAAATATAGGTCATGAGCTTCTACAGCAGATTGAATACGAAGAAAAAGAGATTGACTCATTCTAAACCTCCTTCGAAATAAATTTGGAGAATACATGGGATTTTCTCCAAAGTAGTCATGAAAAAGCTTGTGATGCCCATGAACTCTATCACGCCATATATAGGCATGACCATAAACTGAACCACGATGTAGTGATGTCCTCCTTCTTTTATTAAGCAACTCTCCTATGGCAGATATTGTCATCTCCAAATCATCATCTGAATCGGAATCATCAAGAATAACACTGACTAAACTAGTAGAAAGCATGGCGTAACGGAAAGGAAAAGAGGTGGAAAGATTGTGCCGGAGAAGATGGAATTGATCAATTGAATATAAAAGGAACAGTTTAGATGGAATTGATCTATTGAATATAAAAGAAACGGTTTAACTCACAAAGAAAAATGGAGGGAAAGTAATGAAATATAAAGAGGGAAATTTAGGAAAAAGAAAAGAGGGAAAAAATTAAAATCATAAATGCTTTATGAGAAAATTCAAAAGAAAGAATTAAAATTTAAAGAGTCCAATAGACTTGAATAAAATTTTTGCTCTTTATATTTAGAAATCAATAAAGATGCTCTTTATTTATAGAAAATATGCTCTTTAAAATAAAGAACATCATTGAAGATGCTCTTAGTTGTCATAGAACTTATTTTCACAAGAATAATGGCTTGTGCGACAGCAAAATAAGCTTGGGATAAGCTTAAGGAGGAGTTTGTTGGAAGTGACAAAACTAGGAACATGCTTGTCTTGAATCTAAGAAGGGAGTTCAAAATGCAAAAGATGCAAGAGTCTAAAAACGTTAAAGAGCACATTGACCGACTGATTAATGTGGTCAACAAAATCAGACTACTTGGAGAAGAGATGATGGATAAGAGAATAGTCAAGAAGGTGTTGGTAAGTCTCCTAGAGAGGTTGGAGGTTAAGATCTCATCCCTAGAAGACTCAAAAGATATGTCCCAGATTACCCTTGTAGAGCTTGTCCATGCCCTATAAGCTCAAGAACAAAAAAGGTTGTTGAGACAAGAAGACAACAGTGAAGGAGCCATGATGGCTTTGTATAAAGGGAAATCAGTTCAGAGAGGATATAAAAAGTCAACTGGAGTGAGAAAGGGCAAAGAAAAGGCGAACAACCAATGGGCAAAAATGGTGGGATGAAAGGATATCTACCATGTCCCCATTGTAAGAAGAAATCATGTTGCGAATAGATGATGGTTTAGGCCTAACATACAGTGTAGGTCATGTAAGCAGTTTGGCCATATTGAGAAGGTTTGCAAGAATAAAATAAACCAACCACAACAACAAACTCAAGTGGTCGAAAACCAGTAGCAAAATAAAAAGGGAGAACAGTTGTTTGTGATGACCTTTTGTTATGCAACTCACACCGGAAGAGAAACATGGCTGATAGACAGTGGTTGCACCAACCACATGACACCAGATCTCACCAACTTCTTGGACTTGGATAGATCATTCTAGTCCAAGGTGAAGATCAGAAATGGAGAGTTCATGAAGGTTAAAAGAAGGGGCGAAGTTTCCGTCCATACTCCAACAAGCACATCACAAATGTGTTGTATGTGTCAGAAATCAGCCAAAGTTTACTAAATGTTGAAGAAATGCCAAAGAGAAATTATTCTCTGCATTTTCAAGACAGATCGTGTACGATAGTATACAGTAAAGGTAGTAAGTTGATGAAAGTAAAGATGATGAGAAAAAGCTTTCTTATTAAGTGGAGAAAACTAGAAGTTCAGACTTACTCTTCTAGAATAGATGAGTCTGAACTGTGGCATAAAAGATTTGGCCATTTTCACTATAATGGCCTAAGAGAAATGAAGCATAAAGATCTGGTGCAAAATTTACTAGAGATCGAAAAGAGGAGGAGTTTATGTCAAGCTTGTCAACTTAAAAAATCGAGCAAACAACCATTCCTGCAAACGCTACCTAGAAAGCTATGGAGAAGCTCCAGTTGATACACACTGATGTGTATGGTCCAATGTAGACTTCATCCTTAAATGGAAGTAAATACTTTGTGCTATTTATCAATGATTTCTCCAAAATGACCTAGGTCTACTTCTTGAAGCAGAAAAATGAAATCGTCGAAGTGTTTAAGAAGTTCAAGCTTCTAGTCAGAAACCAAACTGGTTTGACCATCAAATATGTTCACAGCAATAATGGGACAGAATACACTTCAAATGAATTTGAAGAAGTATGTAGAGTAGCTAGAATCAAGCACCAATTCAGTAGTCCTTACACTCCATAGCAGATTAGAGTAAGTGAGAGGAAAAACAGAACGGTCATGGAGATGGCCAGATGCATGATCACTAAAAAGAAGCTACTAAAGTCATTTTGGACAGAACGGTCAATATAAGAGCCTATTTGTTGAATAGACTGCTGACAAAGGCTCTAAATGATCAAACTCCATTTGAAACTTGGTATGGAGTGAAGCCAAGTGTGAATGACCTAAAAGTCTTCATAAGCATCTGTTATGCTCATGTTCCAAAGACCAAAAAAAGCAAGCTAGATGAAAAAGTTGAAGCTAGAATCTTTGTTGACTACAACAGCCAATCACATGCCTATAGAGTCTTCAATCCAAACACGAACCAGATTATGATCATAAGAGATGTCAGAGTTAATGAGTTGTTGGTTTGGAATTGGGAAGAAAAAAGGGTTGAAGAAGAAACAAGGCCTTAGCAGAGAGAGGTCGTTAACAACCAGAATGAAGCTGAGGAAGATTCAGATGCTGATGAAGAACTGTTAGTTATAAGGGCCAAGCCTTTAGCTAAAGTATATGAGAGGTGTGAAGTCGCCATATTGGAGCTTGTGAGCTAGGCTGAAGTTGGAAAGTAGCAATGAAGGAGGAGCTAAGTATGATTGAGAAAAATGAAACCTGGAAGCTGGTTGAGCAACCATCATATCAGAAGATCATCCAAGTTAAATAATCTTCAAGACCATGTTGAATCTTGATGGATCGATCAACAAATACAAATGGAGTAGCCTTTTCAGATACATTTGCTCCAATTGTAAAACATGACATGATCAGACTCCTAATCGCACTAGTAGCTCGGTTTAAGTGGAAGATTTTCCAATTTGATGTCAAGTCCACCTTTTTGAATGGCTACTTAGACGAAGAAATATATGTGGAACGACCAGAGGGCTCTACAGATGAAGAGGGCAATGACAAAGTCTATCTATTGAAGCAGGCTCTTTAGGCCTAGTATAGCTGAATAAATGAGTATTGAAGTAAGCTCGGTTATACAAGAAGCCCCAACAAACACATTATCTATGTGAAGAAGACAAAAAGCGATCTCATTATAGTCTCCCTATATGTCAATGACTTGCTAGTAACTAGAAACAACCTAGATTGAATAGGACCAATTCAAGAGAGCAATGCATAAGGAGTTCGAAATGACAGACTTGGAAAAGATGACATTCTTCCTTGGGATGAAGATAAACCAATCTCCAAATGACATATTTTTGTACCAAAGAAAATATGCAAATGAGATCCTAAAAGAGTTCAGTATGGAGAGTTGTAATCCAGTGAGCACTCCACTAGTTCAAAATGAAAAGCTATGTAAAAAAGATGGAGGTCGCAAGGTCGATGAAAGCAGATATAGAAGCTTGATCGGGTGCTTGCTATATTTAACTATGACTATACCAGATATAATGTTTGCGACCAGTCTACTCTCAAGATTTATGACCGCACCTAGTGAAGCTCATTTCAAAGCGACAAAGAGAGTACTTAGATATGTTTGAGGATGTGTAAACCTCAAGATATGGTATAGAAGGTCTAAAGACTTCAACTTGGTCGAATATACTAATAACGACTAGGCAGGATCAGTCGAAGAAATGAAAAACACATAAGGGTATGTGTTTTTCTTAAACAAATGAGCGTTCAGTTAGTTGTCCAAGAAGCAAGAGATAGTGGCTCAATCAATTGCGAAAGCAAAATATATTGTTGCAGTTGTTGCAGTGAATCAGGTGATCTGTCTAAGAAAGATCCTAAAGGATAAGAACCTAGAACGATATAAGCTTACAACGATCTTCTACGACAACCAATCTGCTATTGCAATGGCCAAGAACTTGGTGTTTCATGGCCAATCAAAACATATAAAGATCAAATATCGTGCTATTTGAGAAGCCGAGCAGAACAAAGAAGTAAAGATCATTCATTGTCGATCCAAAGAATAAGCAGTAAGTAGTTTGACTAAGGCGTTATGCAAAGCCAAGTATGAAGAGCTATGATTCAGACTTGAGGTTTCCAGCAAAGATAACAAGGAGTGTTAAAGCAAGTGATATCTTGCTGGAAACATTAGAATGCGATCTAAAGCTTACGATCAAATGTGGAAAGCTAAGATGGATGCGAGCTGAAGTAGATGTGATCGACAACGATTTGAAGAGCATGTGACCTAATGGGCATGCGATCTGGAAGAAGCAACCAGGAAGTAATGCGACTTGGAAGCAATACAAGAAGGAATCCATACAATCAAATGTGCATGAAACAAAGTGGTTTAGCTAACTTTTAGGGATGTTAAGTCTGATAGATTTTGTGTTAAGTAAGAATGTATGGCTCTATGATAATACCAAGTAAATATCTCTGCAAATTAGGTTAGCATTTAATGCTTTGCAGAGTTAGCATGTCCACAATGTATATGATGATGTCATATGTTTGTATATAATCTATACATCTATATAATCCTAAAGCCCACCCTCTCTATTGATTGCCATTTGGACTCCCCATAGGATTCCACGTAGGATGCCACATAGGATCTTAAGAGCTCTATTAATTTATAATTGCCATGTAGGATTCCATGTAGGATTTTAGTGGCAGCTCTAGAATTGCTGTTTATTAGTACTAATATCACATATTGGGCATCCAAATGTCTAATTAAAAGATATATAGATTCATGTTAGTCCCTTTACATTCACCTAAATATTAATAACAATATAATAGTGACATCCCAAAGGTCTCAAGAAAACTTTTTTTATATGTAAATTGTTATTTATTAGTATTAATAACACATATTGGGCATCCAAATGTCTAATTAAAAGATATATAGATTCATGTTCGTCCCTTCACATTAACCTAAATATTAATAACAATTAAATAGTGGCATCCCAAAGGTCTCAAGAGAACTTTGTTTATATGCAAATTGCTATTTATTAATATTAATAGCATATATTGGGCATCCAAATGTCTAATTAAAAGATATATAGATTCATGTTAGTCCCTTCATATTCACCTAAATATTAATAAATTAAATAGTGGCATCCCA